ATAGAGGGCTCCAAAATATTAATGTTCTCTCAAATTAATGGGTAAAAATCAAAAGCATTTACTCTGTACCAAGCACTGTACTAAACACTGGTCAGCACCCTAAAATAGCCACTTTGCCCCTGCATAGCATTGTAATGTCAGTAAGGAGGGGTTAAGCCTAATCAGAACATATGAGTTAACAGAATTAGTGAGGCAGGGCAATTGACCTGTAGGACAGGAAGGCAGCGTGCTGCCGCTCCTTTTCTGAAACTGCCTATAGACAGGTAAAAGTAGAGAGATCCAGGGCTTCTGGACTGACTGGTGTTTAGTCTGATCCGTTATGTCATGGAGGTCAACTTGTGAGTCTGTTGGAACAAGGGAAGCCAGAGTGCCCAGGTGAGACCTCTGCATAGCAGAATAAAATTTTACATCATTGACAACACCTTCTATTAATCATTATTAAGCATCTACTTAAGGAAGAGGACTATGCTAGGCAGAAAAATACACAGTTTGGATAAGACATGGCCTCTGTCCTCATGGAATTCACAGTTTAATAAGGTCTTTCTTTTCTGTCTCCTTAGATAAGCCTGGGTCAGAGATAATGGTACTCTGACAGTATGTAACATTCTAATTTTGGTTTTCTTCACATACCTCTTGGCCAAGTCTTAACTTTTGAAGGACATGAAGTAGAGCTTGTGAGGAACACCTCAGCCAGGCTATTGGTTCTGGATGGTTCACTTAAAAAAAATCTCATTACCTCAACATTGAGATCTGCCACAAAATTGGTAGTGACCTAGATCTGTGTTCACCCTAAGAAATTAATTTCTCTGGTTCACCTCTTCCTCCTCAGGATCCTGCCATATCCTGAAGGGACAACATGCTGGGCATAAGAATGAATACTAGAAATTGAAGAGAGGTAGTTCTCTTGGGGAAAAACAGGCATTTAAGTGTAAACCAAAGAGCCACAATGGAATTAGTACCAGGTTTTCTTCAGACTGCTAATATCCAAAGGATTAAGATAGAAGTGGAAATCTGTTTTTTTGAGCTGAGGTTCAGGCCTTAGTATTGACTCAGGAGGCCAGGTGGCTATAGGGAATGTTGCGGAGCTGAGCATTTGTCTGTCGTGGACTTCTTCCTCAAATCTTCAACCTTTTATGGTGACTGCCTACATTCCCCGCCCCTGCCCTGAATTATCACTGGGGCTTCAGACAGCCCCAGCATCCCTGATGGGGCTATCTGGATTGTAACCTTGTAGGTGGTTCTCATACTTGCTTGGACTAGGGGAAGTGGAAGTCAAGTGTACTTGAAAACAAAGTCCCAGTGACCAATACGGAAGATTCTTGCTCACCTGAGATGTATTTGCTTCTCTCCTCAGATTTCCTCTTTTAATCCTCTCTCCCTGACTCCGGGATGTATTAAGATAATTGCTTCATTAATACATCACAGGTTAGAGATATGACCTCAGTGTCCATAATATCACTGTAGTACACAGTTTACATCTATAAATGTGCTTAAACTAGTAGGTGGAAGAGCAACCAATACACAGTATTTTGAACTCTTATCCAATTGGTCTTTGGTGGTGGCTACCATGCCCTGTCTTCCCCTTCCCCTTCTCTGTAATAATAAGCAGTAGGAAGGGGATGCTTCCTGGTAAATAGGCACCAAATACATCCCACAGATTTGAATTCTTAATATAGTTATGCATATAGACCTTAATTTTTAAGCAACTTCTTTTGTTTTTAGATTAAATTTAAAGGTTTTTTTTAAATTAACAATCATTTATTTTCTCTCCCTTCTACCTTCCCCTCCATTAAAAAAAAAAAGAAAAAGAAAACTGTTGTTTATATGTAAATATACATAGTCAAGCAAAGCAAATTTCCCCAATGGCAATGCCCAAAAATGTATATCTCATTTTGTATCATCATCTCTACTAAGGGATGGCTAGTGTGCATCATCCTCAGTCCTCAGTGTTCCTATTCAATAGTCCCATCTCCTTGGCCCTACCATTCTGTGGACTTTAGTCTGCCAGGACCTTCAAGACCTGCTTAATTCTTTCAGCCTTACCCGATTCCTTGACCTTGACAAGCTCTTTTCTTCACTGGACATCTTGAGTTTATGACTCACTGTACACTATGACCTCAGAGACATATCCAGATCCTTGGTCCTTGCTTTGCCTACCCAGCCCTGCCCTATATCCTCCAAAAAGTCTCGTTAGAATCTTAGGCAATTTAGTGTTGGATTGTAGTATATTCACGTAGGCAGAATATGGAGGATTAACTGATAACTAAGTAAACAGACTAGATGAAACAGATGGACGAAATCTAACTAGGTAAGTGAACTAAATCAAATTATTTCAATGACTGAGACCTTGCAAGGTGAAAGGACTAGTTATAGCAAAATGGACTATCCATGAAAGTGAGAAAACTGAAGCTTGCTAGATGAGCAGACTGGATTTAGGTAGGTGAAGAAACTGGTCTGTGGGGAAGATAAGATGGGATCTAGCCAAGATAAACAAAATATATCTTTCCAAGTAAAGGGACTAGGCCTCTATAGGTAGGGAGATAGAACCTACCAAGGTGAAGGAACTACCTGGTTCCAGGTGAGCTGACTAGATTTAATTGTAAATGGATTGGAATTAGCTAAGTGTGTGTGGGGGGGAGGGGAAAAGACAGCGGTGCTAGGTCTAGCTTAACAAAGGAGTAAAATGCTTGGAAGTGATGGGACTCGATCTGCTGATGTGAGCAGGATAGATATATTCAGGTGACTTAATAGATTCATAGGCTTAGAGTTAGGAGGGACTTGGGAGACATCTGATCCAATACTCTCCTTTCCCAGATAAGGAAGCTGAACTCAAGCAGAGTTTCAGCAGTTTGCCCAAGATCATCCAGATTACTTACTCTCTGTGTACTATTAACTAGCTAACTTAAGAATCAAGTTGATCTTCTGATTGTAAACCCAGTGCTTTTTCCACTCCCCCATGTTGCAAGGGGAGGAGATTGGCCTAGTAAGGTGAAGGGACTAGAGTTGATGAAATGGGCACATGTGTTCTTGTAAGGTAAGTATACTGAAAGAGATGAATGGGCTGGATTTAGAGAGGTAGGGAACAGAGGTACTGACGTGAACAGACTAAATCTTTATATATAGGTGGACTAGATCTAGTTTGGGGGCAGCTAGGTGGCGATGTGGATAGAGTGATAGCCCTGGAGTCAGGAATACCTACCTGAGTTCAAACTAGGCCTCAGACGCTTACTAGCTGGGTGACCTTGGACAAGTCACTGTTTGTCTCAGCCCCTCATCTATAAAATGAGCTAGAGAAGCAAAAGGCCAATCTCTCTAGTATCTTTGGCAAGAAAACCCCATACAGGGTCACAGAGAGTTGGATGCGACTGAAACAACTGAACACAGACAGTTTATATAAATGTAGTAAATCTTGCTACAGAGAGGAGCAGAGCTGGTGATATAAGAGAATTCTTCACTGGGTATAACTTATAGAAAAGGTCTCTGTGATGGCAAATGTCTTGGGATTCATGTGCTTTTTCAGGTCTTAGTATGTCATCTAAAAGCATTTTGAAGGGAGAACAGTCTGGAAATAGGAGTCTTTCCCAGTCATTAGTGTCAGTGCTACTGTTTGGGCATCATTTATGAAGTATTCTTGTGATCTGAAAAAGGCCATGCACCCCCAGAGGGAGCCCAATTTATTCAGAGAGTGATTGATTATAGTAGAAGGAATTCTTGTTCAAGTACGAATTAGACTAGATGACCTGAGATGCCTTACAACCCTGAGATTCTGTTATTGATTGGCATTTATTGGAAAGAGCCCCAAACTAGGAGTCAGGGGACCAGGGTCCTACACTATATGAATGCTAGCTATTATTGTTACTCCCATTAACTCTACCAATAATCAGATGTGTGACTCTGGGCAAATCATATTTCCTTCTCTGGGCCTCAAGTCCTCCATCTGTGGTTTGGACTGAATGATCTTACTAAGGTCTCTTTCTGATTTGCTCTAATACATGTTCAGATGTCTGGATCTGCTGCATATTGCTGCTTTCAACATATCCACTGTTCAATCCATTTTAGCTCAATAAATATGTGTTAAGTGCCTGCTCTGTACAGGGCTCTATGATCAGGAGATAAGACATGATCCCAGACCTCAGGAAACTCATTGTATAATTGGGGAACAGTGGGTGTAGTGTAAATAGTACTGAACTTAAAGACAGGAGGCTTGAGATTTAATCTTGACTCAGATACTAGTTATATGACCCTGGACAAGTCACTTTCTCTCTCTCAATCTCAGTTTCCTCATCTGTAGATTGGGGATAATAATAATTGCACTACCCACCTCACAGAGTTGTGGTGAGGAAAATACTTTGTAAACCTTAAAACCCTATAAAATGAGAGCGTTATTATTATCGTGAATGATGTATGCAAGTAACTTTAGTACAGAACAGGACATAGGAGCACAAAAGAGGTGTAAACAAAGTGGGCCAAGTAATTTCTAGTTGGTTGAATGGCTGAGAGTCAGAGATCAAAGAAAAGGGATTCCTGGAGGGAGAAGCATTAGAGTTAGGTCATAAAGGAGAGAGAGGATTTCAGCAGGGGTTAATGAGGAGGATGTTCAAGGTGTAGAGAAGAGCAAATGATGTGGGTCATAGTTCAAGGTATATTTAGATAGCAAATCACCCATCTTAGTTGGGGCTTAGATTAGTAATACTGCCTTAAGTTCTTGATGGTGGTAGATAATGATTCTAAAGAATAAACCAGAGCCATGTACTTGCTTCCTTCTTAGCTCAATGCACCAGCCTACCCCATAATGGTAAGTTTTGTCCCAGTGTTCCAGCCTTTTATTTGTTGTATTAGGAAACTCCTAGTCCTAGGGAATGCTGATAGGACTCTCAGTTGACAAGATGCTTTTGACAGAGGGTGGAGGTAGGGGGGTAGGTATTTAAACTCTCCAGCTGGGGATGATGTATGATTTGTGATGGCTTCTGCCTAACACCTCTCTTGTGTCTCCACTTAAGCCACGCTGCTGATGAAACAGGCCTGGCCCCAGACCTCATCGTCCTGTGCCACTGAAGGTACCTTCCACCTCCCGGTGGACACTGGGACCGAGAACCGAACTTACCAAGCTTCGTCGGCGGCTTTCAGTAAATACTGCTTTCCTTCTCCTTGCTTTTCCTCCTCTGGAGAGGACCAACCATGCGGGCTTTTCAGGGGGATGGGGAAGGAAATGGTTTGTAAATATTCAAGTACTTGATCCTAACAGGAGGGCTTGTTTGTCTGAGAAGACCATCCTCTTGTCTTCAGTCAAGCTGAGAGTTCTGGATGAGATGCATGGGGAAGGATGAGAGAGGAAGGGCCTACTTAGCCAAATAGATAGTCAGATTGACCAAGACAGTTACTCCAGAACACCCTAAGTCTGGCTTTTAAGTAACCTTTATCATCACCATCTAATTATTTGTTATTAGTTGTACTTTCAAACTTCAAAAATCTCCTTGGTGTGGATGTTTCCTGTAGTGGTAGAGATTGCAGCCCTTCCATACTTTAGAAATGATACTTAAGAGTTGCTAAGAGCCATCCTCTGCTGGCCAAATTTGCCGAGTCTAGTGCTTAGATGATAAACGTACTGGGCCTATACTAGAAGTCTTTTCAGTATTGGTGCAGGACCTTCTTGACCTTATGCTCTGCTGGTATAGCCTTGAGAACCCGGGATCAATGCTATACAAAAAGGAGGCATTGGAGAATTAGAGTGGCTTGTAGTACTTAGATTGGTACTTCAAGAATTGTTTTTTTTTTTTCATCTGTGTATTTCCTCCACTAATGCAGATCCCAGCCAACCACTCTCTACATTTTATTGTTGTCAGGTTGTTTCAGTTATGTCTTGGTCTTTGTGACCCCATTTGGAGCTTTGTTGGCAAAGATTCTAGAGTGGTTTGCCATTTCCTTCTCTAGCTCATTATAGATGAGGAACTGAAGTAAGTAATGTTAAGTGACTTGCCCAGGGTCACACAACTAGTACGTGTCTGAGGCCAGATTTGAACTCAGAAAGATGAGTCTTCCTGACTTCAGGCCTGGTGCTCTATCCACCATACCACCTACCAGCCTTCTCTCTACTTTAGAACATGGGTATTCGTGTGTGTAACTGTGACTGAAACAGTTCATAGCAGGTGACCATCCTTTGATGATAACTCTCTTCACCTTTTGCTGGGCTGATCCTTAGACAATAGATGCAAAGTCTGTTGCTGGGTCCATAGGATCTACTGGAACTTGAACTAAGCTGGCATAGTTTTCTAAAACTTAGAAGTCACCTCTATACCATGAAGAAGCATAAGAGGAGGACTTTACTGAAAGAATAACAACAACAACTCCCATTTCTATGGAGCTTGACAGTTACAGAATTATTTCACACCCATTATCTCAGTTGATCCTCATAGCATCTGTGTGACATGGGCATGACAAGTATTAGAAGAAGCATGGCATAATAGACCACTAAACTTGGAGTCGTGGTAACCTGGGTTCAAATCCTGCTTCTGATACCTGCTGCTACCTCTGTGAATGTAAGTCACAACATCTGTTGACTTAGTTTCCTCATCTGTAAAATGGGGATAATAACATGGATAGTCCCTCCATCACAGGGTTGTTATGAGAGCAGATTAAGAGAATCCATTAATCTAATCTGATGAGCATTTATCAAGCATCTGTTATGTACAAAGCATTGTGTGAGACTCTGAGAGTTCAAAAACAAAATGAAAAATAGTCCCTGCTTCTTAAGGAGCTTATAAAGCACTTTGTAAGCTTTAACATGACATTTGCATGTAGGTTGTTATTATTATCATCCCCATTTTTCAGGTGAAGAAACTAAGACTTTAAAAGGTGAAGGGATTTACCCAGGGTCACACAATATCTGACTGTGGTACTTTATGTCACACATGATGTGAATATTTATGTTGAGAAGAGCTGACCACCAAAAAATGGTGGTTCGAGTCAACAAGACCTTTCATTTCCATATTCCTAAACTTTGAATCAAGCTGTCAGTGATCCTTCTTAGATGCTGTAATTTAAGGACCCGTTTGACTAAGACAAAAAATTGTGAGGTGAAACCATCTGCTAACTGGGAATGGGAACAGTGGAGATAACTTGTTGAAGTGGCAAAATATGCCTTGTCCACAGTCTGCTTTCTCTGGCCTCAGACTTCCACAGTACACTTACATACCCATATCGTATGTATTAGCATACAGAGAAGTGGCTGGGATTTACCTGTCTGAGAAAGGTCATCTTCAGAGCTGCCCCCTCCCCCAGTAATGGAATAAGCACTGGATTCCTCAGGAGATCTAGGCCTTGTAAAAGGATGATAATATTTATACTGTCTACCTCACGGAATTGTTATAGAAAGGGTGCCTTGTAAACCTTGACAGCTCTATACATGAGAGCAGTTGCTATTATTATTCCCACGATGCAGTCATTGCTTAGAAATGTCCAGCCTCTTTGGGAGCAATCTCCAAGAGCCAGAGTATGCACACTATAGGGCAACTAGATGATTGAAGGTTTCTTTGGCATAGCTGGATCTGGGTCCACAAATTGGGCCAAGTTCCCCAGAATCCAACTGTGCAGTAACACAATAATCCTATTTCTTTACTGTCAGAAATTTAGCAGATTGGTGCCATTGTTTTTCTTTTTTCAATATGTTTTATTTTGTTAAATATTTCTCAATTACATGTAAAAAAATTAACATTTATTTTTGAAAATTTTGAATTCCAAATTTTCTCCCTGCCTCCTCCTCTCCCTTCCTTGTGAAAGCAAAGAATTTGTTATCAGTTATACATATAAAGTCATGCAAAACATTTCCATATTGGCCACATTGCAAAAGAAAATAGATCCCCCCCCAAACCCCAAGAAAAAGAAAGAAAGTAAAAAAAACGCTTCAGTCTGCATTCAGAGTTCATCAGTTCTTTCTCTGGAGGTGGCTAGCATTTTTCATCATGGGTCCTTTGGAATTGTCTTGGATAGATGGGTGCCATTGTAATGGGTCAGAATCAGACATCTGAGTGACCATTTAAAAATCACTAGACTCATTTTATTTATGGCTATCAAATCAGATCTATTGCCTGGTTCTCCTGAGTGAATAGCCAAGGCTTCCAGAGGGCGATGAGTCTGTTCCTCAAAGAGAAGTGGCTAGACAGAAAGTTTAAACTGCAGGTTCTATGCAACAGTCTCACCAAGATTTTATTCTAAGTTTCATTTCCACCATCCCCCCTATTCATTTAAGAAACAATTTCAATATAATAGCTATTAATTTGAGGAACTAAATTTATCTTGTTGGGTATGGAGCTGAGTCTGTGTGACTTTAGTTAACTGGAAGACGATGTGGTACAGTGGGAAAGGGTGCCAAACTAGGAGTCATGAGATCTGGCTTCATGAGTCTTGACCTTGGTCAAATCATTCATCTTCTCTGGGTCTTTGTTTCATCATCTATAAAATGGTGAAGTTGAACTGGGTGATTTCTTTGTGGCTTTTTTTTTTTGCAAGGCAGTTGGGGTTAAGTGACTTGCCCAGGGTCACATAGCTAGTAAGTGTCAAGTATTTGGTCTGAGGCCGGATTTGAACTCAGGTCCTCCTGGCTTTAGGGTCGGTGCTTCATCCACTGCGCCACCTAGCTGCCCCTTCATTCCACATTTTAAAAAAAATCTTTTTTTTTTTAAATTAATGATCAAAAGAGCAGAATCTTAACTCCCCAAGAAACACATGTCCCTTGGAATGGTTCAGTCCCAGAGGCCTGAAGCGTGCTTAGATTTGTGGTGAGAATTGTTTTTGACATTGTCATCCATGCAGAGAAAAGTACCATCCATCATCTCGTGGTCTCAATCCTGGATTCTGTCTGTACTGAGCAGTACTCAAATTAATACCTCAGCAAAAAAAAAAAAAAAAAAAAGAGCCTTGGGGCTGCCTGTGAAGCTCTTCTCCTTTCCCATCAGACTAATTCTTCCTTATCCATTGATGAATTCTAAGGAGAATATGATTTGTTTTATAACTGACCATAGAATGTTAGAGCTGGAAGGACCTTAGAAATCATCTAATCCAACCCTCTGGTTTTACAGAGAAGGAAATTGTGGCCCAGAGAGACTGATTTGCTGTAGGCCATGCAGAGAATTAGAACTTGAACCCAGGGTTTCTGACCCCAAACCTCGTATTCTTTTCACTCTATACTATTGCCTCTTCAAGCTTATGGGGGAGAGGGGCAGGAAGGCCCAGCATAAGTCCTTCTTTTTCCACTGCCCCCTTACCCCTATGACTTTGGTCATCCCTCCTCACCACATGCTAATATAATTTACAAATATGTTAGTACTTCAAAGATCTCTGATCTCACCTAAGTGGATCCTCCCTCCCATGAGTGAAAGAGAAAATAGCCACTCCATATCTCAGTTAGTGGTTTCATGAGTTGTTGCCTACACACACACAGAGAGAGAGAGAGTGTATCTTGTAGCCATCTCTCTGGTGATGATCCTCTCTGAGCCTAGCAAAGTTAATTCTTTGATGATAGTTCATCCTTGGGTCCATCCTCAAAGCCTTCCCAGTTTGGTAGAATGTGACAGAGCTTTCTCCCTGCTGGTGTGGTCATTGAGAAACCAGGATCATCACCCCACCACGATGAAGCATTAGAAAATGGTTTTCCAAAAATATATTTTAAATGTTGGCATGGACAAAGGCAGCAGACCATAATAGAGCTCTGGGCTTGGAATCAGAAGACTTGGGATCTAGTCATGGATCTGCCTGTGACTCATTCTGTGATCTTTTCTCTAAGCTATAGTTTTCTTATTAGTAAAAATGGAGATAATCCCTGCACAGCCTCTATGACAAAGTTGTCCTAAGAACCAAATGAGTTAATGGATGGGAGAGTGCTTTGTAACCTATAAAGCACTGTAAACATGAGTCATGATGTTATTTCTAATTGGCTTACAGTCACAGTCCAGCAGTATCTTCTCTGACAAGCTGTCTTTCAGTATCTCCGTCATGGAAAACACTAACAGTGTGATCAGATTTGTTATACACACACCTAGTATCTGAAAATTTGGCTTTATAAGACAGGTAAATTGTGTGTGTATGTGGGTGCTTATTTGCTTTTTAGAAAAAGTGAGAGGAGTCAAGATAC